ATGCCGACTCCTTGCGCCTATTTTTGGAACTTGATTGTAGCTATTTCAAGAAATTCTCACATAAAGTAATCCAGTCATTGTTTGAGAGGCACTTCGAAATCTTACCAAGGTTTCTTCCATCATCGGCTTTAATGTCAGGCTCCACGACGAAAAATTTCCTGGAGGAGTATATTCTGACACTGTAAGGTATAATTACGCGTTTTTGCTGCTGTAATTGAAGCCGTAAGTAATTCAGAGTTCTGTATTAGATTTGAATTCATCGCCGTTCTTAACAATCACCTTCCGCTGGAGAAGAAAACTACCAGTAGCCTTGTAAATGTGCCCGACAGCGAAAAGTATCACAACTCCATATAGTGTTTGGAATTTTGAATTGTCAGCTTCATAAATAGAAGTTGTTCAAATAACATTGAAAAACTCAGTTCTCGATTTTCTTCCTTTAGAACGTATTTCTAATTCGCCTTCCCATAGTTTGCTTCGGTGTACATTTCAGATTACTTTCTCAGAAAAGCATTACATTTGCACAGAGTATGTCAGAGGTTGATGCAACCCGAGTTGTTACTTAGAATATAAACTATTTTACGATGCGAAACAAAGAGAAATAAGTTTTACTTGTGGGACTAAAAAAGGGAGTAAAGGATAGTGTTATCAACTAAAAAAGGAGTTATGTATTCTTGAACATTTGTTTAGATCGTAGCATGGCTGAGTGGCATAAGGTAAATACAAATCAAAGAACATTTTCCAATTTTTTTCCTCAAACGGAGAATTTATTCAAATGCTTTCAAAAATTGCAACTTACTGGAAAAAAAACTATTCACTTAACATTATGTACATCTAGTAATCTCGCTTGAGCGGTCTGCATCAGACCGATTATTGAATTTGCAACAATTTAGGCACTTGACTTTTAAAATTTTGATTAATGGGTCTATCTTCTCTTTAATGAATAAAATTGGGTGTTTAAGGGAAAGTCTAGCGAATAACACTAAAGTGCTTTTGATTCCTGTTCACAAATCTTACATGAGATTTAAAATGCAAGGAAATCTTAACCAATGAGAGTCATTAATGTCAGTCACTCTGTCCCTTTTGCATGTTTAGTTTAACCGCTCAATAAAAAAACTGTAACCCAATTCCTATAGTATTCTTTCAGAAATAAAATACATTTCTAAAAAGTGTGTAGTTGTACATCATTATTTTTGCAGTTTATTGAAGAAATTCCCTGCATTTTAAAAGTAAGTAAACTCTCATCCATAATCAAAGTGCTTTATCAGCCAGGCATTTGCTTAAAACAGTAATGGAAATGAAATCTCGTTGTATGGGCCGTTTGCCATTACTCACTCTCATCATGATACAGGTTCATGGCTCGGACTTACAAAAACTGTACGTGAGCGTTAAGGACGAAGAGTCTCGAAAGTGTAAGGCCAGTCGTATCAGGCGGTAAGTGTGTTGCAAAACAGATACAATTACTAATTTGGGGGCGAAAAGACCTAGAACTAGACAAATGCAGTTTGCCTTTCATACTTTGCCTTGCTACCTTTAACCTGATGACGTTATGACATGGAAAGTTTGAGACTAGAAAGTGAGACCATATAGACAGAACCACAAATTATAAGATTAAGGAAATACACGTATCATCCACCAGTTGTAATAACACCCTACCAATATGTCAGCATATAGGATATTGCTTGGTTGAACCAGCGGAGCAAATTTAAAGGAGTCAAAAGCGAGAAAAATTAAAGGAAGTCAAACGTGTTTAAGAATAATCAGTGAGATAGAATCACTGATCAGGAACAAAAACAAATCAATCAGAGTCTAATGTCGATAATAATTGCTGTACTACGTAAAAAAAGCTAAAAAGTATCTTTAGTGTATTTTAGTTAGGCGAATAATACCTGCTACTTTTTTGTAAAACAGTAGCATGCGAGAATCCATCCTGAACCCCTAAAACCAATCATTACAAGCAAATATCATCCAACACTAGAAAAACGCCAAAGAGCGTGAATGATAATGGGGTATTTTATAGCATTAAACTATTCATTACACTTTTCTGCACGTGGAACTGCATTAAACGCATTTTTTCCACTTCGTTTTTGTAACTTAAATAGCTGATTTGTGAGTAATCAACTCTCTCCAGCTAAAAAAATACACACAAACCGGTTAAATTTTAATTTGAAAAATTTTTTGGTTCTAAAATGTAGATTTTGACAAGTTTACACCAAATTTGCGCTTAATGTGGGGTAAAATACTAAGTGACAGCATAAAAAGAGAATTTTTCTTTAGCCACGCATGCAAAGGCGATCTAAATTATTTAGTCCTTCCTATAATTTGATAGTGTCAGCAAGTTAAAGAAAACAGTTGGATATGTCACACATGATCTGCATATTTTGCCTAACGGAGAACAAGAAAATTCCTTGCACAGAAAATACTTAATGCACGCGATAGGTCCTTGTCCGTAAACATTTATATGTGTCAAACCAGTTTCAAAATAAAATAAGATGAATCATACCACATTTGCAATATCCTTCAAAAGGCTTAATTCACCCTCTACAGTTACCATGTCTTGCAGTTCACATCTCTTAATCTATCACTCCAGTAGCCCCTTCGACATTTCGGTAAACGCTACAGTAATCTGCAAAGCCATTTTTAGGTGTCATTTAATCCTTCGAGTGGATTTTCTCTGACAATATGGTTCTAAGTGGTTAGAAAATTCAAGTTATAAAAAACGTCTTTTTCGTGTCTTGTACTTTTTTTGTAAACATTTACAAAGTGAAAGAGTAATAAACTTAGTGAGGCAACATTGGTGAAATGATAGAAATTATTTTTGTACCGTTCCATTTTTCTTCCTTTACCAAGTGTAGAAAGTTGTATTGACACCTTGGAGCTCGTACACTTGGCAATCGAGGATACGGATAGGTTAAATAACATTTTAATTAAAATTAGATTACAAATGAAATAACAGAAGAAGTGGAATTTATATGCAGGCATTGGCAAAACCGCTATTTCATTTGGATACGTGGTCTCATCACTGCTTCAGTAAGTGACCCGTTCTCAATTATTGTTGTCCATTATCATTACAACAAAAAGTTTTGCTCGATTTTACAATTTAAGCCTGGCAAGTGAATTGGCGATGGTGCGGACCTATGGAAAGTCACCAGTCCGTTCCAGCCAATCAACAATTCACAACTGGGTAGCCAATGTCTCCTTCCCGCGGTTGGACGAAAGTGCACAAAACAAGTTCTTCCAAAGCCGCGAATTCGGAGGTGAGTGGGCGTCTTAGATGCCTCAGTTGATATCTATGATTTCAGTTGCATTTTTTATCTTGTAGATTCAGCTCCACGAATAATTTTTGACAATGATAGTCCGCTAATTTAAGCACAAAGTATTTGATTTAATGCCCTAATATTCCATTTATATTTAGGTGACATTTTAAAAACTCCTATTAATTACTGTTCAGAATTAGCGATGCATCCTCATCAAGGTTGCAAATGGAAATAACCATTAATGCAAAATCGTATGAATATTTGTTACTTGGATTTAGCATAAACGGTTATCAAGCATTGATAAGGTAATAATAAAATGCGCTTTTTCCTCGTAGGCAATTTCCTTTTTTAATTGTAATAAATGTGTTGTCCTCTTGCAATGTGTGAGCTTGAGAAAGCGGTGTTTCTTTCAGACTTTCAACTTATACAGCCAGACGAACCTCCAAATTTTAATACTCTAATAACCATGCTCTTCTACGATAGCTGCACTGAATGCTGATATCTTCGGGTTGCCTGTCGTTTATTTTCCTGGCTTGTACGGCTGCCGACCTCGTGGAGCATCAAAACAGTGGTAAAATTCGAACATGGAGTGAATTAGCAGGTGCACAAGATACAATAAAAAGGTCATCGAGGTCCGGTCGTAAGTATACATGATGCATACCTTCCTGACAGATTAAAGCTGCAAAAGCCTTGTGCGTGTCTTAATTGAACAAAATGAGAACGGTTAGGTAAGGCAAGATGGCAACTAGTTTAAAGGTTTCATTAAACCATGAATGCAATGATACTGTTAAAAGTTCCCTATATGAGCGAAATACCACTGAGATTTTACCATCAAGATAATAATAGTTTCCATTCTGCAGCATAATTCAATGTAAGCCTGATCGGGCCGTAAAAATGGCAGAATCGACAAGATTAAGATAATTGCTGAACTATTTTAGTTGGCGTGAAATCCCTAAGTACCCAGCAGTTATCTCATAAATGAACCAACCACCATGTACTAAACGTCATTCTAGCTTTTCAGAAGATCTTAAATATGAGCATTCGGTCATTTACAGCTAAGAGGTTTTTTTTAAATTAGTACGAAATCGACCAATTACCTTTACACAATATGAACTACTTAATTACCACTCCAACTTTTGTCACAAAAGAATACAAAGTATTGGGGTCTTATTATTCTCTTCAAATTCGGCTTTAAACCAAAAATTGCAAAATATTAGTTTGTAAGTATAAAGAGGACGTAATTTATTCATCCATGCGAGAATACGAGACGTTAGAAAAGTTGTATTTAGTAACATCTGGGATCTACTTGCAATGCTATGGTGGTGCGTAGGAAAAATTCCACTTTAATGCGTCTTTTTTGAGCAAATTATGTTTAGAAATTGAATTGAGTATGCACTGAAAAATGAGACTACATAACTGCGCAAGTTTTGAAGTGACAAACTCGCGGTCGAAATGCAAGTTAATATTTCAAATCTAAGATTTTATTTGACATTACTTTTGCTAGAACCAAAAGAACAACTGTTTTTATCCAGGGCCATCGCTTGCAAAGAGCTAAAATCCTTTTTTTTGTGGATTATCAAAACATAGTCGGCCCACAAAATTTCAATTTTTGCTATTGTTTGTGTAAAATAAAGTAGCAATATGGAATTTTGTTGCAGCCTCAATCACATTTGGTACTCCTGTGAATGATTATATTTGAGATACTTCATGTTTTACAATATTAAAAACAACAATTTTAGCCTGAACGGGTTTTTTGGCACATTTCCTAAGCGTGATGTTCAAGTCCAGGTTCGGTGATTCCCCTACCATCATAGAAACTGCTAACAATTCCAAGTCGATTTGGACCTTTCTTATGTTAATAATGATTCTGTCTGATTAACGTTGTCTGTGAGTTTTGTTTACCCTTTCACTTTTAACAGAGGTTCATTTTGATTAGTTAACTGTGTAACTTTATAAAAAGAGGAAGAATTATTGCACAAAAAATATTAAAGGCAGTAGGACTTTTCTCAGGGATAAATTACTACCACCAAAAAGCAAAAGTAACACAAGCACCCCCTTAACGATCTTATTTAAAAAATGTGTATTCCTACTTTGCAAAGCTGTCCGATGAAGATGTAGAGCCTTAAAAAGTAGTGCTAGAACAATTTCACAAGCAAAATATGTAGGATATTCATTTTAATTTGACATTTGTGGCACCGGATTTGGATTAAAATACAAGAGCTCGGTGTTTATCCGGGTTAAATATGTTTTTCACTCCAAAATTTATGAGCGTAATGTAAATGCAGTGGAAACGTTGGTTTTAACCTGTATTGCTTTAGCTCTCATTGTCTAGTAGTGCAGTTTCAAAGGAGCAAATCATATTTTTTTTGGAATTGACAAGACCTCTTGCAATATCCAAAGCATCATGTTTACTGTATAGCAAACAAGCATTGCCGACAGTCACCATGCATATTTAGCTCTATTTTTTCTTGCTGAAAGCACGCAAATTCTTGGCTCACTCTCTTAACTTTCTTCATCTATTTAAAGTTGATTAGTCGTGTTTTGTAATCGAATGTAACGTGATGTGATGCGATGCGGTGCAGCCCAATATGGTGAGATGCGTATTTTCCCTCTGCAAAGTGACTTGGCAGTACATTGAGCCATTGTGCATAGAGTTGGCACAGCCTAACATGCGCACTACCCAAACTGCTATCCTTCAACTTAATTCCTTTATATTGCGACTGTTTTGTGATGCATATCGCATGTGTTATGCATTTTTATGCAAAAATTCCCGGTTCTTTACTTGTTCGTGGCAATGTAAGCAAATTTGATTACAACGGGGCGAATGAAATGGTCAACCTTTTCTTTATTTCCTTTTTATAAATGCATTTATTTTGGGTAGATAAATGTAATAACTTAAATTGGTCTCTATGCGTGATTAGTTGCTGAAGCAACTGTAAGGACATTTTTAAGAAAGGAGCTAAAAGAAAGCAAAAAGCAAAAGGATCTGAGAGTTTTTATCATTGTTAGGCTAGTACAGTAAGCTTTGGAAGAACCAAGAACGGCTGATTACTGATATGGCGTAGTAACACTGCTTCCTCGGCGATAAGGTATTTCAGAAGGAAATGCATCGTAATGTCCGATGGTGCAAGGTTTCCCTGTGCAACATATTTGCGCATTTGCATAACTTGGCCCTTAAAGGTAAATGACTGACACACTGAAATGCCACCAGAGCCTCCACAACCCTTCCTGTGATGTCGACTGAGGATGAAAACGTTGGTAAAGCATATTCAAACGCCAAAAGTGACCTAATTACTCCTGTCTTGTCTTAGGTTGGCACCAAAATAATTTGTTGTGTCTTGAGCTGCGGTGTCGAATGAAGCAGCTTCTGCATCACTTGACACCCAGATGAACAGAAACGTGTGTCCGTCAACATTTTTAATAGTTTGTATAGCATGAGTAACAAAATATCCAAAACCTTCACCTGCTGCCAAGGGTTACCCCTAAAAAACGTGCGAATTCTAAACCTAAATTTAAGTCTAATTACCTCAATAGAGGGACTGTGTGGTACCCTTGCTATACACTTAAAAAAGGAAAATGGCACATCACTTATTCATTTATCTAAATTGAAGCTTTGTGCACTCCAGTGAGAAGTAACCCCTCCCTATATTTTCATTATTTAAGGTGAAATCTCCTGTTTTAAAAACGTCAACAGGAAATCACTTTAAGTTGTTCTAGGAGCTGACGCAAATGTTCAATCTCCCCCAGCTATGGCTTTGGAAGTCAAACAGCGCGTTAGGGAAGAATTTTGATTGCTAATGGAAAATTTGTTTGAAGCTAAGAGATTCTGGTATTTTCTACTTTTTAAGGTAAACACTTCATATAGCATAACCCTACACGAAGTTAAGTGTCTTTGCTTTGAAAAATTTAAAACCACTAGTTTTACCGTGATTGAACAAATTCGTACAAACTGGAAATGTCTTTCAGCGGCGAAATCACTGAATGCTGACTCGTTTTCAACCCATTTAAAGTGTTTAATTCGGACCGAAACATTCGTTTTTTGTGACTTTTACGCAAATTCATTTAACTTATCTATTTGAAACCACTTCCCTAAAGTAATTTTTAAATTTTTACTTTTAATATGCCGAGATACCTAACTAATTCTTCATGTAAATCAACTGTTAACGCTGTTTTAGCCGATGGAAGCAACGAAGCTGCGGAAATTTTGTGTGAAGCACCAGGACGAGGGACAAGTGAATTTGCCGAGTGCCCCAAGCGCACATGCCGTGCAAACGTTGATTGTTGGGTTGCCTACGGCAAACCTCAGCAGTGTGTTTGCGATCCACATTTTTGTGGTCTAGTTTGCCTTCCAGGTGATTTTGTATTTTGGTGTACATTTCAATGTAGCATCAAGTCAAAGGGGAACTACTGACTAAATTACGTGACGCTGATAAAAGTGGGCTATGGTGCTTTGTTACATGTAGGAAGCATAATTCTTTAAGGCGGAATCTAATAAGTCGGTTTTCAAAGTAATTTGGTTACAGGAAATTCTTTTCAAAACCGTAATACCATAATTAGACACGACAACCATTTCATACACACCTATAGGTAATGGTGGTTTCCAGGATTATTGAATGATATAAAATGTGCCTTAAGCTTTTTAAATACTATAAATTGGCTTTTAAATGCATAGGTTTAGTAGAATTATTCGAATTGCCTTTTTTGACGAAGTATTTTAGGGCCTTCACTGCACAAAAATCACTTCAGATTTCGTCTGTTAGTAAATCGTAAACCTCAGTTACTTCGTACAGGTTGATTAATCCCCGGTATTGTTCATACGACAGCTTAACACCAGCTGCAACTGGTGTTTGGCAAACAACACCCAAGTGTACAGAAATTCCGCTTTTTTGGCCGTAAAGAGAGCAGCTACTATCACTCTTTTTCCTCCAGTTAAAGTAGTTCCCTCCTATTTATGTGTTAGTTGGATCTCGGTGTTCCCCCCCAAACAAGCCTGAAAATGGGAATATTTTGCTCCGAGACACAAGGGTGGGAGCTACGGTCGACTATACATGTGATGCTGGTTTCACAGTTATGGGCCCTCGAAAGCGCCACTGCCTGGCCACACGGAGCTGGTCTGGCCCAGAACCTGTCTGCACAAATCAAACCGACCGTGAGTTTATGCGGCTTTTTATGTGGTGGTATGGAAGTAGTACACCTTAAAGTCATTATACGAAAAAATTTAAGACCACTATTTCTTCCTATTTTTTAGGCATAGATTTGCTTTCCTTCGTTAATCAAAATGAATATGCATGAATTCAAGTTTTTTGATATCCCAAGGAGGAATTAAAACTAGCTTACGATGATATACCTACTTGAAAATATCTAAAAGATGTCCTAACATTTATAAAAAGCATTAATTAATTCATTAGTGGGTTTAAATTGGAATTTCTATGCTCTTATCGGTGGGTGTATGTCTTCTTTGTGAATAAAGTGACCAAGAAAGTGGACCATTTGTGCATTTATCCTTCTGTTTTGCGTAATTCCAGAATCCCGGGCTAGCTAGACTAATAAGGTATGCTTGCATGGCGATAAGGCAAAGTAATCATACAAGGTTTTAAACGATTTTGATGAAATTACCCCAGCTTTGATGTACTTAGTCGGTATGTATGCAAACCGGAAGGAATTCGTATTCAATAATAATGGTGAGAGAACAGCTTTATTTTCCAAAAAGCGTGAAATTAATTAAATGTTGAGCATGTTGGAATTCTGTAGACGCATTGTAACTATGTTTTCTTCCACAGTTATAATAAGCGATTTCCCATCGAGTCAAAAAGTAAACCGGTAAAATAAGCTTAATTTTAAATACAAAGCTTAAATGTACTACTTGTGACGTTGGGCAATCTGAAATGGTTGAGTTAGATATTTTCCGGGTTTTGGTAGACAGCGCTACTAGGTGGTTTGGACGCTTAGTAGCAGAGGGCTTCAACACCAGCCAAAACGAAATTCCCAGTGGATTTTTTTTCAAGGATGACGATTGTCTTAACGCATCCTGCAGTGGTATTGCAAATGATCCAGCTACTCTTTGGTACATCAAGACCACGCTTCATGATAGCTCTCAAGAAATCACCCAAATTCGTTCTTCTGACTCAAAAATCATAAATGTAAGAGTACTATAGTTCGAAGATTTGTCAGTTTAGTCAATGTGTCGATGTAGTTATTTTATGCCAGTTTGAATATTTTTCTATCATTTACCTTCACATTTCATTTACTAAGATTTGGGGTACTTCTTGATATTTTTGTGCATTATACTATAACGCGAATACCTATAACCCACAAACCCTAGTCTTAATCATTTTAGAATTTAAATCCCTCTACTGCAATTAGACATATTAAGAAATTCTTACTCGCTGGCAATGTGGGTTTCAGCAACCTATCCAAGTTGCTAATTGACTGTCCTCAAATATCTTCATATTTAAATAACCCAAAACCAGTATTCTTCTTATCTTGTTTTGAAAATAATGGGGTCTTAATGCCATACAATTCTTTTTTTCCAACACTTACATCTCGGTGGAACACTAGCAAACGATTGGAGTTTCAAATCAAGCATCTGCACGAAGCGCAACCTTCACGGACAGGTTATGTCAAACTAATGAAATCTTACACATTCACAGTTTGATTTTTACACCAAGAATTTCTTTTACCACCCAGTTTACGAATACTTTAACAAAGTCAAATTTACAGGCAGCAATAAAATATGCTTTGTTTTCATATCTTGTGTGCAATTTTCAAACTTGCTTTCAGGATGTCTACTGTTGGTAAATTTAGAGTAAAAACACCTTTTTCAAATGACAACTTTATTAAAATAGATGTAACCTAGCAATAGGAAGTGGATAATCAGTGAGTCAAAGGCAGAAATAGAAGGTTAACCCCTTATTATCGGGATAAAGTCAAGCATTTTTCGTATGCCTTTTGGACTTTGATTGAGGCTTCCCTATTATACAAATGGTAAACAATTTACGTAGATTCTACCATAAAAGCGTGAAAAGGATATGGGAGAGCTTTTCCAGGTAGATGTACAAATTGATTATGTATGGGCTAAGTAAGACACTTACATGCTTATTGCACTCTTTGTACGTTTTTGCAATTTTTTTAACTTCTAAAAAAGGCAACCTGACTGCGCTCTACCAATTGCAATTTTGGCCACAGAATACAGTAGCATTTTATATTTGTTTCGGAATGTTTACAATTTTGGAGCATTTTTCCATTTAACTGGTCAACCATAATCTAAAGGTGATCCCAACCGTAGAGCTGTGAACTTACAAAAATAAAGCAGATGCAATCATTATGTGAATAACCCATATGCTTATTCAATTATTGCAATGCTGAAGGCCAAAATGTTTCTAAATCACTAACTTGCCGTTGGAGCACCGTCTATTTTGGCCAATGGGCAATTAATAGCTAAATTCATGCACCCAAATACCCTGATAGCACACGCTGAAATTAATTTTCGTACTTAGACTGCTTTTCACCGCCATACATACAAAATGCAATGGTCATAGAGGGTCACTGGCTTGAGGCCAAAATTTCCAGGGACAGAGCTGATTATCGAAGCGGCGAGTCAATTACGATGACCTGTCGGCCTGGGTTCGTGGACGCCAAACGCAAATACTCCACCATCGTGTGTGTCGGTAATCAATGGAAGTATAAAAAGCTGGATTGTCACAGTAAGTTTTTGGTGTTTTAAAAGTGTGTGTTGACTTTCTTCTGGCACTAATATGTCTCTTCAATAATGTAATTTTCTGATTTTGATAAAAATATTAACTTTGCATTTTTTAGTTATAATGAACTCGAAATTAAAACTTGTCAGCAACTTTTAGTGCTATTCTATAGGACATGCTAATCAAGCTTATGTTTTCTCATTTTTCAACTGCCTTTCTAGTTTATTAGCGTCCACGCGGTGGTTTTAATAGCTATGTGGCTAGGTTGTAATGACGGCAGTTGTTATTTATTTAAGGGGTATCCTGTCCGGAAATAGATGGGCCGGAGAATGGACGAACTCTGTACACTTCGGATATGCGCTATCAGGGAACAGCAGTACAATTCTGCAACGACGGATACACAATTCATTGCCCTGGTGAAACCGTTAAGACAGAACCTACCTCATCTAAGAGTAGGTTATTGTCGGTGGCTCAGTCCTACTTATATCTTGACTATTTGGGCTACAAAGCGCTAAAGTTTATTAGATTAGGGCAGTAAATTTTTCGGAACATTTCACCGTCCCTTTATTTCATTTCAATATTTCAGAAAGCTAGCTTTCTTCTTGTTATTCTTTTAGTTATCCATCTAGGATCAAATTAAAACCATTTGACTAATAACTGAGGCGATGAATGTTCCTGTACTCCTTGGTAAACATGCCTACTTATTTATCCCCTACTGCTAGGGCAAATTGCAATGAGTGATGAAAATTATATCTTTGCGTACGCACTATAGCTCTGAACTAATGCAACTGCGAGCCTTCATTATCACCTTAGGTTGTAGTCGAGTATGTCAGGCCGATGGAACTTGGTCCGGCAAGTCTGCGAAATGCATAGGTATGTACGTCGTTGTTAATGGTATTTTACCTGCCACCAGCAAAATCTGACAGGCTAATGCCTCTTCTTCGATAATCACAAATACCCATTTACGTCCTTGCTCATGGGATTAAGATAACGGTAAACCCGTTGCTGTGATTATTTTCAGGCGGATTCATCTTTCCAGTGATGGATGTCACCATTAACGAAAAATTAATCTAGATAATTTTACATTGACAACAATAAGAGATAGTTCTAGGCCTGTATAAACAAATAAAATGAATAAATTTAACCTATGACATTAATCTTTATATTGCACTGCTTTTTAGGTGTTTACGTCAAAGAAGACAATGCGGAAACATCGTTAACTAGACCTTGTAGTCATCATTTTTTAGACAAAATGCAGGTTATTAGTTGTCTCTCTGAGAAATAAATACCTGACTTTTTAGTATATGCCTTGTTAAAGCATCCGTTTCGACCTTTCTTGGCCCACGTTTGAAAATGCTTTGGCAACATACCACCGTGTATGAAAGAGGGTTGACTACGCCCAACCACTTTGTGCAAACATTTTCTGGTGGATAATTTATGCTTTAGCACAGTTCAGAGTTAAAATTTAATCCTAAAATATGTTCAGCTTATCAGTTTGATGGGACCCAAGTGAGGCTTTTATGATTGTTCGTAGTATTCTTTTCCGAAAAAAAGCATAAAATAGCGCAAATCCTACGTGTATTTGTTCGTGTTTATATTTTCCTTATAAGAGACATAGTCTTCAGATACCAAAAACCAGCAAAATTGAGGCCACTGTCTTTTAATAGAACGTTGATTAATGGGATTGATTGACACGCTTCTGTGAACAGCGTCTGCCCATCATACTGCTCATTTTATCTTGTACGCTACAGCTTTGCACTCAGCGAAGACAAAAAAGACTCAAGGGTCAACCCTGTTGACTTCTCCGTGATCCAGGCTATTGTAGGTACTATTTCGAAGTTTGATTTATTACAACGGCTGGCACTGACTACTACGTTCGGTGTTTTAGCAAAAGCACAGATGTGCAACTTGAATCCCCTGCATGGGTATTTTCTTGAGCGGTAATGTCCTAATGAAATTGCATTAGTCAATAGGCTTTCTTTCTTGCTATCCGCCTTGCAGCAGTCACTTGTCCCAAACTGCAACAGCCTGAAAATGGATTCATCTCAGGATACCAGACAAAAGTGAATAGCGTTGTCGCTTTCGAGTGTGCTGAGGGCTTCAAACTAAAAGGTTCCAGTTTCCGAAAATGTCAACTTAATGGGGAGTGGAACGGTGAGCCAGCACAATGTCAAGGTGTGTCTCGACCCTACAAAGATTTTTATTTATTTCAAATCCTTTCAGTGCCGTGAAATGTCGATCGTGCTTTTTGCTTAATTTTATCATCCTACCCAATGAATATGGTCTAGGAAGTCCGCCAAGTTCTTTAGTATATTTAGTTTTAAGGAATTTACTAGCCTAACGGTCAATTACAATGAAGGAAATTAAGTTGGAATCCGTTGAACAAGCTAGAGTGGCCCACTCACAAATTAGTGTTGTAGATCAGTATGTAATTAAGACGAAAAATCCATGGTTTGCAACACCGAAACTCATAATAATATAAATTATATTCTTGTTGATAAAATAGATAGTTGGAAGTATTTGTTATACACTGCATTCTGACAGCGCAAAAAATTATCAACTTCCCTTTGATTTCTCGATTTGAATTTGACGTGACATTTTAGTCTCGCTCCAACTTTTAGTTGACATTTATTTAGGCTTTTTAAACCGTTTTCGTATCAGAGCAAAGATTTATGTATGCTTCCTGCAAAAGAAGTTGTTGCAAGGAAAAATCGCATGCACAGAGCATCGTCATTCGATTAAATCAAACAAATTTAGTTCTTAAAACGATGTGCTATTTGCTCGAAAATGGCAAATGGGATGAAGTATACGGCAATTTGTTTAGAGTCGTACTCATCTATAAAAAATTGAAAAAAATCAGAACTTTCATGCATACATTTCGGGTAAATCATTGCTATCACATTTGCAAGCACTTATCAGCCTCGTGCTCCTGTTTGCCTTTCTCTAAAAATGATGGTAAAATCACTCCAGTTCACTGGAGACAGCTGTAGTCTATTGTTGTGCAGTTGGTGCAAAAGTTTCATTCGACAAATGTAAAACAGCCAAATATCCAAAACCATTATCCATCGCCACTTCAATCTACTATATGTTTGGCGTGAGAATGACACGTCTTAGATGCTTTGCCACTTTTCAATGGAAAACAATACTACTTTTAAACAGAGGATGAAATGCATGATTTAAGAGCCTAGAAATAAACGTAAAATGCAGATTTTCAAATGAGTGGAAGTAAAGTGAGCCGCCGTTTCATGCTTAAATGTTCCTTTTGGAAATTATTTGTTTACATGCAAAATGTTTTTGTTTAGGTTATTAGAGACGATATTTGCTTACTTAAAGTATAACTTTACCTTTAAAATTCCTACATCGTAAAAAATTACAAGTTGTGTTCATGTTTTCTCAACACCTGACCTTGCTTGCTGCTCAAGTAGTTTATGGCTTAATAAAGCTTTTCCTACAGGGGGTTTGCTTTTATATTTGTTAAATTTCGCTCTAAGTACTTTTGGCTCTAATCTTATGAGAAGCCATGTTTAAGGAAAAGGGTTTCAGCGCTTTTTTGTTTCCTGCATTCCCCAAAATGCTTGGCAAATTGATTGGAGAAACTCTCCAATCATAGTTTTATCTTTTCCCACTGGTATTTTTTCTTTTGCCATCATTTCCTTAGTTTACGACAGAGAACAAATTGACACAACTAATTTTACTCCTGAAATAACTTTACATACAATTTTTCTGATACTTCAAACAGACAGAAGCAGTTTCCTATTCTACGTGGAACTCTCGGCTCATGGGGCGTCTTTGCGAGCAAAGTAGTCAAGCTGATTTTTAAAGTCCTAGAAGGATGTGGCGCATTAATCGCCATACTTCTACTAAGTTTTTATTGATGCACAACTTCATTGCAGCTTATTATATTATTTTGACAAATTTTTCCTAAAATTTAGTCCGTGATTGTGGTTCACCTCCAGAGATCTCTAATGCAGTCGTTAAGTTTTCATCGACTTCATACGGTAGCAAAGCCTACTTTAGGTACGTTTATTTGAGCCCGTGTGCTTATATCCATGATCCTTTTGTAAAGCATTGCAGCTAAGATGCTGACTCTCCCGATCATTTGTATTTACGACAACATACAACTGCAAAACTGCTTAGAACTCCTCAAATCATCATTCTATGTAACCATTGTGTGCGAAATACCTCATTTCCCGAATCAAATGAAATGTTATCGAATTGCGTTTACTTTGCGCTACTTTAATGAGCGTCTGGTCCAGTCTTAAATGAGTTGAGAATTTTAGTCAGCCAAATCACTGGAAGAGGTGCATTAAAATATAACAAAAGGTAAAATCGTCTCAAAACCCATACTTTAATACTAAATATGACTCTAACCCCTTAAATAGTTGCTTCTAAATTCCCTACCAAAAAATAAATCCTGTCAAAATATTTTTCTCAATCCTCCAAATATTCGTATTCTTTACGCAACATTTGGGATAGCGTTGAAATTAAGATGGTTGAATATTTTTGACTCCAACTTAGGCGTTCCTACGTTTATGTGCCTTTTATAAACACTTACCTGCAATTTGCTCTCCATCCTTTATTGCAGTTGCGAGGCAGGCACAAAGTCTTCCGTATCGACCTCAGAGCTGATCTGTGGGCGAATAGGCAATAAAACATCGTGGCTTCCCTTTCCCTATCCCGCCTGTTACAAGCATTGTAGTGTGCCTGACATAGTCAGCGCCAACATTTCCCTTCTGAATATGAACGGCAAACCGGATGGAGACATCGTTGCTGAGGAGACGCTGCTTGAACACGGTGTCACCATTGCAGTTTATTGTCACTCGGGCTTCAGTCTCTCCAAAGGAAAGATTAGGCTTGATCAGGGCGCCTTTACAACCACAACCTGTGAAAATGGAAAGTGGAGCCACAAGGTTGAATGCCAACCAGGTGAGCCGGAATAAATTGAATTTTACTGTGGAGGGAGGTAAAGAGAGGAAGTGTGAAAAGGTGACATGGCTTATGAGAGCTGTTGGGAGGTGATTCGAGCAATGCAAATTTCCAGACCTTTTCATAATCACACATGGCATTTGCGATTCACGCAACTGTCCAGATATCTAGATGTAGTCACTTCTCTCCAAACTCAGACAAGCTTCTAAAATGCTGAAAAATCATTGACTCTTTTAAGCCACTATTAAACGGTGCTCAGGCTTTATGGCAGTTAAATGTAAACATGCACAGTATATGACCTCCCGTATTTCAGTTTATTGTTAGTGTTAAAAACACTATGAACGACTGTCCATCTGTCATAAAAATCCGCTACTGGTAAAGCTCATTGTGTTCATTTTAAGCAGCTTCTAACAATAATTTAAACACTAACCATCCCTTTTGTAAAGCCCTGAAAATTGTACGGGAACTCTGCGTTTAACATATAGTATAACAATAATACGTTTAATTAACACTATGCATTTATGTGCACGAATATGTACTCTATCGTGAAATTTTATGGACTGCATATTCGTAGACCTGTCAGTGCATTATTACCGCACTGTAACAAACAATGAATAGGCTTAAAAATTATATTATTTATGTTTTATCATCATAGGACGTAGATTTATGCAGATACTTTTTACAAACACATCTATTTATCTGGTTTAATTACACTTCTAATATTTTACTTTTCTACTCCTATTGAATCATGGGAATTCACCACCAGTATTTTTGTGTTAACAACCGTGGATGGACTGCTATATACTAAAATCGTGTTTTTTTTAGGCGCTTACATGAAAGACACCAAAGTTTGCTATTCTTTCGTCTAAATGTAGTTGACAAGTTTGGGATTTTGACGGTTTTTTATCAAATCGTACGAGACAATGATGTTGTTACTTCTGTTTATTTGTAAACTGTCCGCTTCGCATCAAAAAGTTTGAGGATGTCAGCAGTGGCAATTAGGATCTTATGGTCTAGTATATTACCACTGGAAGGAAGAAGTTTGAAAGTCGATAAAACGTCAGCTTGAATTAAATGGAATGACTCCTCTCAAGCTATGATCCTTGGCATGAAATTCTCAGTATTAGCTCAAAGTGATGCTTGGAATTTGCACATCCACGCATGCCATCAATTTCAGCTCAATGCACAACTCGGCCTCCAAACATTCCCAACGCACTGGCCCGCTTTTACGGGCTGCATCATGGCTCAGTGGTGCGCTACCAGTGTTTTCCGGGATACGAGCTTGACACCAATAGGACGGAAGCCGCATTGCGAGAGGCCGCAAGTACCGGCGGCCTTGCCAACACGTGGCCTCTCGCTCACGATCGCTACAGCGTCAGGTGCGAGTATGGCGTCTGGAAGGGGGAGCTGCCCGCGTGCGTTCAAGGTATGCTTTCCAGTTTTCTGAGGTAGTAGAAGTTTATTTAATGTGGACTAAATACGTAGTGGACCAAAATCATTATATAGTTTATGTAAATCGTCAATATTAAACAAAGCGGATGCTTAGCTCATAATTATTATTCTCCCATTAGTATTAATCTGAGAATAATCATAGTAAGCTTAGATTGTAAAAATTTTTCGGTTCCCAAACCCTTAAATTAAGAGAAATGTACAGAGTGCTAATTAAAAGTGCTATCCTAAGATATTTTAACTACAGTATTTTATCAAGAACGAAAGGAGTTTTTCTTCTATAATTTTATAAACAACTCGACAAATGTTCTTTCTTGGGTAAATAGGAGCTCAATGGTGGCTACCACACTTCATGAACAAACTGATTACTGTATCACTGACCCTCAAGTGCTCTAGTCCTGTAATGCTTTGTTACAGTTAACGGAAAAAGCAAGGCCTCTAATTTTGGGACCAAAAAATAGCAGTCTAATCAATCCAACACTTCAATCAGCCAAGTAGACGCGATCAATGGACCTTGGCCACAAAACCACAACAAACTAGGCCTGTTCAGTATCCCAAAGTTCTTAAATAGTAGTAATTTCTGCCTATTAATGAGAGAATGTATGAGTCTCATGTGTTATCTTTGGCATGAAGGAATGCTTGAGGTAATGTTTTGGAATACTAATAACAAGAACAATATGTGCTACAGCTGCTCAGTATACACAAAGAAGATCTAAAGGAATACCCAATCAAAATTAGATTTGTTAAGCCGTGATCTAATGCTCGCGTACCATCATAATGTTGCGGCCGTGGTGAAGGCTAGTTCTTTCAATCCTTCAGTGCGCTGTAACCGGCCTCCTGTCCCAGAAGGAATGGAGATATATTTGGTTGGCGCCAGGGGCCGGTGGCCTTTCGACAGCAAACAGATCCTCCCCACTCACGGTGCCGTCGTGGAATACAGCTGCCTCAAAGATGGCCATCGGATAGAGGGACCCAAGTACACCTTCTGCATTGATGGGAGCTGGAGCCCAGACGAAACACCAATCTGTACAAAAATAACTCATGATATTATCCCTCTATCTTGGCTATTTTACAAACCCTAATGTAATTCCATGTAAATTTGTATTTTCCACATGTACTGGATTTTTGCTCAAGCACTCGCAGCAACAAGTAGGATGGGGGGACGTTAAATGTGAACTTGAAATGTAAAACTTTCCATTTTTATTCACTTTTTATGGCCACTGATTTATATGAAGAGCATGTTATCATTATGGGCAGAAAATGCCGTTTTATGCTACGTTTATTTTTAAAAAAGTTGCGTTCAAGACAGGATTAGAATAATTTCTGGTGAACGGTGAGGTATTTTTAAGACCCAAAGTATGCACCCAATGGTTGGAGCATTTTTTTCACTTCGCTAAGCACAATTTTCCATTAAGCAGCCATACCATTAATTGCTCATAAATGGCAGCAAAATGCTATTGGCACCATATAAGAGTTTCCGAGCCTACCTAGGAAGTTTTCACACAAACAAGTTGGTTGCTTGAGGATATTATTGATTTTTTAAGTCATTTTACCAGTTCAAATTGTAAATTGTAATTGTTGTGTGTAGGGTCCGATTCTGAGCTTTGACTGCTGGTTGAGATTCCTATATGAATTCACAAAATGCCCTCGCACATACTCATGCAAAGACTTTGGGATCTTAAAATTGAACGATGGTTTAGAAATGAGGAACCATTTGTTTTGTTGCATCAGACTTCTAAGTCGATGAATGGATATGTAGTTCTTAAAGTTCATTAAAATTAAAATTTGCGTTTTATCCTTAGCTGCTCAAAAATTGGTATAATTTCAACCGAATTGAAAGTTGGATTATTTTACATCAAAAATACTTTTATAAATAGTCATACAATGAAGGTAAGCGAGGGGAGCTCCTCTATTCTGTTGCTGTGCAATATTCAAATGTGACGGATTAGGAGCACTTCCACGGCTTATATGCATCAAAATAGCCTCATCAGAACCGTTATTTAACCAAAACTAATACTTTCCTTGCATTTTAATAAATACTTTTTACATGGTAGGATAATTAGCTAGAAACCATCCATGTAAGTTGATGGAGCTTCTGCCTATGTCTCGGAATGCTCTGGCCAGACATTAATTATTCCAGCCCACGCACACTTCACCCCATATTTCATGAGCAGAGCAAATAAAAGTGAGGAAAGCATTCATTAAATTATCTTATACCTAACCATTGTATTCCTTGTTTATGTAAGAAGAGACGAAAAAAGTATAAAGCATTTTTATGCTTTTAAGTGTTCACGAACCTTTGGGGATTAATCGCATTAACCATCAACTCAAACAGTTGGCATACTACAACAAAGTGGATGAAAGGATATAGCCTTAGTCTCGAACTAGTTATGAATATTTTCTAGATGGTGTTTTACGACCAGAATCATTCATTTGAACATTCTGGTCTGGGCTTTTCTTTGACTGCACTCCTTTTTCGCCTTCTTGTCTGATGGAATGGCTGGGGAGGATGTTCCAATGCGCGTCGCAGATACCACTGCTACCTTACGTCATACAAGAGTATATTATGTACTACACAATGCAGTGGCACAAATGATTACCACTCTACTGTACTCAAGAATTTCCTACTTGGAAAGGGGTCAGATTAGGATTGACCTCTGCTTCATACGTTTAGCTTGCAGTGATTACATCATCCCACTATCTGAACTATTTTCTTTAAAGTGGAATCTGCGTAATTAAATAGATCCACCAGCATTTGCTAAAATGAAGCCTTCTCAACATCGAAGGACATTCTATTATTGGAAAGAAATGGGTAACGTCACATTCTTACCTGGTTATCGAAACAGTTTTTGCTAATTTAGGTAAACTCGCTCTCACACTCATCGTAGCAACTCTGCAACTGGGATTTGGCTGTTTATAAAAAGATTTAAGACTTAATCTATTCAAAAAACCGAAATGGTGTATATTTCAAACCTTCATATCTTCCATTCACTACCCCAACTCAGTTCTTATTTGCAGAGGTTCTTTTGTGGTGGCGCATGTAGTAATAACAGGCTCATTCATAAGGTGATGCTCCAGGTATGTACCCCTATTTGGTAAATAAAAATTGGTTTAATGGAATTAAACAGTTGTTTGTTCCTCGAGGAAAGTGCCTTTTCAAGCAATTGACAACTCAATTTAACTGTCGCAAGTGAACCTTTGAGTAAAAGTAATCATAAAGTGGATATAAAAGCGCATTATAATTTATTCTTTTGCCCATTTTTTTATTCATCGCCATGCCTCTTCATTTCATGTGTCGACTAACACCACGAGGCTAGTGCCATCAGTGCTGTCTCCCTTCCTTACCTAAAATCTCTCTCTGCCTATTTTTGCGAGGTAAACAAATTGTTTCAAATACGTTGGATGCATTGTCCCAATAAGTTTTGTTTTGGAACGCCCATACTCTATATTCCAGTAGTCCTCAACTCATTTGCCTGGCTCTTTTGACCTGCTTTTCTTAAAAGCTTCAAAGCCTACCCGACCAGCTTATTTTTTCCCTGTCGTTGCGATTTGTAGTACAAATAGGCGAAAATGTACACACGCCAGGGCCCTCCACGAACACTTATGAGAATGCTCCACGTTTAAACGCAATCCTTCAATTTGGGATAATTACAGTGATGACTTAATGGCCTCAGTAAATCTTGTACTAGATCCATATTCGGCCCGAAATTAATCCTTCGCCAACTGCATTTTCCTTTGACTCCATATGATCGCACTTTTCGTTTCAAATACCTTATTTCCGGGAATTTGGAATCCAATTCATGTACCTCTTCCTCATGCTCTAAGAGGAAGTCTCTTTAATGCTGTAAATGATAATTTAATCCTGCCGAAGCTTGTGAAACATAAAATTTATGTAGATGACATTTCTAAATAAGAAAAATATTATGCTGGAACATCTTCCACGTAATGACGTCGTCTCCATTTCTAATTGGTAGAAATGAACATATCATTCTCTACCACTGTAACATAGGAGTGATTTCTTAAAATGAATTTATCTAATTTCGAGCAAAATTGCAGCTTTTTACATTATAGTTAAGCGCATCCACTTAAACCATTCTGATAAGTAAAAATATGCATGGCAAACTGCAAGTAGCGCGTCACTGATCTCTGATTAGGTTATAACATTGGCCAGAAGTGCTACTTAAAACTTTTAGCTATCCCTATCAACAATCTTTTGAGTGCTAATTAGTCTATTTGATCAAGCAAAACCAATCATCAATCATTTTGTTTATTTGCCACCACTATTTCATTTAGTTTTAGTGTGTCATTAATGATGCACTTTTGGATAGACTGATGAAATCTCTTAAAAGTGACTAAAAAATTTATTTAAAATATCTTACACGAGGTGTTTGGTGGGTCTGCTTTGTTCATTTTACCCGTCGGTGCTGACAAATTTGTTTGAATTGTATAGGGATCAGGAGTTTTGCCCAATTTTCCCATAACTTGCTGGAAGCTTTTACTTTTTTCCAGGTGTCCTCGTTCATAATTCTGTATATGCCTAAGCAAATCGACTGAAGTAGACGCCTAGGTGTGTGGAAACTGCAGTTACTGGCATATTCAATGCTGGAGCTTCGCGATTACCTAATTTTCATGTGTCAACAACCCACATATCTGAAGTCGTCATATCACTCATTCAACGTCGGATAAATGCATAATTTAAATTTTGTAGCTGCTGAATGCATTCAAATTAAGAAGGCTTATTTCTTCCCTTACTTTATGGCATTAATGTTGTCTTGACAATTTACTTGATTTGAATTACTTAGTTGTCTTCCCTGGCACGAATCGAGCTGTATTGCTCTGCTGTGCTTTTAAACAATAATTTCCCTTCTATGTGCAATTGAATGCAACAAGAAGATGTCTCGTATCGATAATTAAGCTCTTCAAAGTTTGTGGAACTTTTTTCATCTACCCAAGAATCATAATGCTAAACTCAAGATTCCGGAGAAAAGCACATTTGTACTCCAAAATAAAACTAAGCATGCCAAGGGTATATGAATTCAAGAACTACGGAGCTTGTTCCCCACTTTTGTGCAAATATATTTTTTAACCCCATTTGACGCTTCTACTTTGCATTTTATCATTGCCTTCAAAGAAGCAGTGTCAGTAAACGCAGTTTAGAGGTAGAAAGACTGATGTCTAAGACAACTTTTATCGTGTGTGTGAACGTTACTTAATTTCGTAATTACGTGTACTAAAATTGGCTAAAATTAAGCATTTATAGATTAATTCGGTTTTGAACGAATATGCAACTGATGATCTCCTAAAGACTGTTTTCGAACTGGGTCACAATTCATCGACAACTCCAGGGTTTTGAGCTATACAATTTATCCACTTCCACTCCCCATTCAAGTAGCCTG